CCAAAGAAGTGACAAAGTAAAGCTCAGCTTGCGGTGGCAAAACTGAAAGTCCCCTGGAAGTGGTACTTCCAGTTTCACTTTTGCCGCATCCCTCAGATGCCAGTTAGTAGAGTTTTCTGGCTAATAAAGTGCCGGTTAACACAGCTTTTGCTGTACTTACAAATGTAGATCCAATTCAGAAGAGGTTTGAGCACTGACTGCTGCCTTTGGCTACTGTTCAGTTCCAAAGCTAGACTATTTCTAGTAGTACTATGACATCTTCATACTGTGGAGGCCCCCGGTTTCATCTAAATATAGTTTGATTTTTTATTTTTATTGCTCCAACGTCCAATTTGTAGTTCTAATTGGAGAGGGCGGACGGGGAGAACAAGAGGACAAAGATGCACAGGAATTGGCAGACAAGGGGCCTAAAACTGTTTTAAAAAATGCAGCCAGTTTTCCAAGTGAATCAGTGTTCCTTTGATGTCAGTCATGAAATATTCAGCGTTACAAGATCTCGTATCTTTTGATCTAAAGAACAGCATCCCCTGCACATACATCTTGAGTCTGTTAATAAAAGTGGATTTAGTCGAACATTTGGCTGCCAGGGTAGCCACATGAAAGAGCCAAGAATCAGTTTGATAGAACCTTTCAGAATATGCTGCTCAGAAAACCAAGAAGCAGATTTCCTATAGTTAATGGAAAGCACAGTGGACATCTTGTCACAATCAGTGAGACTGGCAGAAAGCCATGGAAGTACCCAAAGCATCTTCATATCAATAGAATGAATTGTGCAAGACAACTAAGCTACGCACCAAAAATGGCCATAAACTGTAAATGCCTCAATTGCTTTACTCTGTCAGTCAGACTAGGGACCTACCCAAATCGCAGCAGCAGTTCACAGGGCAGCAGCGCCTTTCATCTGGCTCTTTTCACCACACACCCCCTCCCCCACCACAGAGTGGCTGAGCACTGATTAGTGCTGCAACTTTTGCCTCAGTCACTCAATGGTGGTGTGGGGCAGCAAAAAGAACAAGATTTAAGGTGCTGTGAACTTCCACAGGGATTTAGGTAGGTCCCTATCAATGGGCAAGCTGTTCAGTGACAACAGGCAGGTCCCAAAAAGATTATGATCTTAATAAGTCATCTATTAACATCCTCCTACGCCCACAGAGAATCTCTAGTGTGTGGCAGTGCTATACACTAGAGTAGGGTTTGAAGATTATCACAACACAAGCAAGTCTTCTTTACAGCTCCTAACACTGTTACCACCAGCAGCAACAGAAGAAGTTTTAAAGAAGAGTCTAAACAGCCTTAGTTAGAGACAAAACAAAGCCCTGAAGAGTAAGAACACTCTTCACTAGCATCATGGTTAGAACACTGATCTTCAACCTCTGGATAAGAGACAGACCTGAATTTGGTATCTGGCTGCAAGGAGTATATTTTGGTTACATTCAAGGCAATATTCAAAATAGCAGCTTTCTTTGTCAAGGTGAGCTGTAAACCATGCACCAGATGGACAAATGGAAGTCAGCACCACGATAAGCTTGACCCTCTGGCTCACCATAAAGCAGACATCCTCACCATCAACACAACGCCCTTCATTCTCAGGCTATCTGTACATGAAGGAGCATGTAGCAGGACTGAAAACTGCTATTATTTACACAGGATTCATCCACGCCCACTGAGAAAGTTTAGCACAAGAACAGGGCTTCAGGACTGAATGGCTTCTAGAAAAGTTGCTACTGTCTACAGTCCCAGAGAGAACGTCAACATCTATAAGCCTGAAGTCAAGACTATATACAATAAATTAGGAGTGCATCAAAAGATATTTTCTTGGCTGATACCAACAGCCAATTATTCACCAGGCATATCAGCTGATACTGATCCAATAGCCGATTTACAGGAGCACAGCCAGGCTGTGTGGAGAGCAGCACCCTGGAGGTAAGTCTGTGGAGGGGAAAGGGCATGGGGGGCAGATCAGGGCCCCCACGGTGAGGGAGAGTGGGGCAGGGGCAGGGAGTGGGACAGAACTGCAGGCAGCTCATCCAGAGGGTCAGTGTCCCAGCACTTAAAAATAGCAGTGGGGTTGCTTGAACTAAAGCTCATCAAGTGAGCTTTAGTTCAAGTGCTACCACCACTATTTTTAAGCACAGCTTCTAGGAGCAGAGCCAAGCAAGGTGAGGGTGGATGCAGGCCACCCACTGAGTTCAGGGCTTTCCACCCTGCTGCCTTTGCCCTGGGAGCTGTGCACTGCCTGAGCCATGTCCCCTGCCCACCCAGCAGCAAAAGGCACAACTCACCACCCCCACTGCTGCTGGATGGGCAGGGGATGTACAGCCAACATGCAGCTCCTCCGGCAAAGGCAGCAGTGCAGGAAGCCCCGAGCCCACAGCAGGCAATCCACCTCTGCTCCATCACCCCAGACATGCACAAGTCTGGGGGAGCACATGCCCATCACACCTCTCCCAGGGGTGCATGTAGCAGCAGGGAGCCACCCCCCACCCCTTGGATGAGCTGCCTGTGGCTCTGTCCCGCTCTCTGCCCCAGCCCCAGAGTCCCATTCACCATCCTGTCTGGGCAGCATCCCCAGCCCCAGCCCTTCCCTCATTGTGGGGGCCTCCATCTGCCCCCCACCCATACCCCTTCCCCTCTACAGACTTACCTACAGGTAACTACCCCCCCATGCTACCTGGTTATGCTCCTGGCCACCTGCATGCATGTGGTGTCCAGAAGACCCAGCCAAAAGGCGTATTTTATTTATCGGTACTTCTACGCAACTAAATTTCTTTTGCTCTGGTTATATTTTAGGTTTCTCTTGGCTCGTGACCTCTGATTGCCAAATAGTGTTGCACATCTTGTGTTACTGGTTGCACTTCTAATTCTAAGAACTGCTTTCCTCCCAATGTGAGGACCATCACATGGACAGAGTAATCACAAAGGTCATAAGTTGTTTCCACAGAACTACTGCCTTCAACCAACCCAGTGGCACTACCAAGAGAATGCCATAGTACAAGTGATTTTTCACATCACACAGTTCAGTGAACAGCCAGATAGTAACAGTACACTGCAAGCAAGTCATACTGATTTGTTATCTTAGCCAATATCACCCTCCATCTTGTAACAAACTCCAGGCTGTTTACCTTCAAATCATTACTATTAAGAATTCCATTCTCCCACTGAGGCCCCGCCACACAGCAGCCTGGCATTAGAAAGACCTTGCAGCACCTGCTCTCAGCCTAGTAGGCTCCACAAGGAGGAAAAGCATGAAGGTTGATGGCTTCATAAAATGAATGATTCATGTCATTGACTTCATTTGATGGTGGGGAAGTGAAACGTCTCTCCTCGCAACTCAGCTTTCACTGCTCTTATGTATAAGGGGAAAAAAAATATCCCACTGAACAGCCAATTTTATACACCCACACAAGACCAAATCCTGACAAGAGCTGCAAGAATGTGTTAGTTATCACAGGAAGGAGGAGAGTTACAGCAGGAACACACGGGAAGCCGACAGCAAACCTACAGGTCTAGCTGTGCTGCCCGATCCTGCTTGTAGAAGCAAGCGTGAATTTGAAGCCTGGGGGGCTGCTGTGCTCTGTACAAGGGATCAGGTTTACAGTTTCAAAACGCTGCTTCCCAAGAAGTGAAGGATTTGTAGGCTGCTTGCAGGTCAGCTTGAAGTTTCAGTTACAGATACCAGGCCAGTTTGGCCTTGCAGGGAAAGACAATCGCACATTATACACACTGCCTTGCATTCAAAAGCCTGTCTAGCTTAACCCACTTCCCTAGTCAGTCCAAGAAGAGACACTACTCTAAGAAGCCCTTGCCTCTTGCATAATTTCTGGATTATCGCAGCTACAACACTGCTCTTACACTGCCGCCACCCCCCACACACAGGAGTGCCAGCAGCACGGGATGTGCAGATAGCACAATACTCTGCTTGCCCAGGACAGTTACTGGCTGTGCCAAGGGCCTAGAGCAGTGAGACCAAGCTCTCGTCTGAAAAGAGGGGTTTAAGCAGCAGGCAGGAGACGCCAGAGACCGTGGGGGTGCAACAGGGTGGGGGAGCCGGGAAGCTGGACCCTGCCCGTCTAAGCCACAGGCAAAGTGACCGCATCTCCCCAAGGAGGCAGCCCGACCCCGACCCCCGGCCACAGACACAAGAGCAGCGATTCCGAGCCGGGGCCGCGCAACCCGGGAAGCCCCGAGAGCCTCTCGCGGGTGGGCGCCCGCAGCGCCACCCCCGGGTGCGGGGCAAGCCTAAGCACGAGACGCCCCCGGAGGAGCCGGGGCTTCCCGCGCGCCCAGACTTCCAGCCCCGTCCCGCTCCCGACGCCTCCTGCCCGGGCGCCGCAGCCCGACCACAGGCGACTCCAGCCCCGGCACCCGCACGAGCGGCAGCTCCGCTCCTACCCAGCGGCCCGCTGCTGCTGCTCCAACCGCGGCCGCCGCTGCCCCGGCCCAACGGAAGTGAGCGCGCGGAGTGGAAGCGCTTCCGGGTCACGCGCGGGGGGCGGGGCTTGTGGGAGGGAGTGGGCGTGTCCTGCGTCCCGCCCCACTTCCCTGGGCCGCGCGGCTTAGCTTTCTGCAGTCGGGCCGGAGGCTGCGGGGAGTTGAGGGGTATACCGCCGGCTGCACGACACAGAGGCTGGGGCAGTCGTGACGGATGCTCTGTAGTTCATGGGTGCTCCAGATCCGTGCCCTAGTGCCAGGGTATTCGGGGGGCTTTGGGGCACCATAGACCCGCTCCCGAGCGGTAGGTGGGGCGCGGAGGATGGGTGGCAGCACTGCCCGACCCATGGACAGGCCCTGCGTTCATCTGGCCTGCGGCAGGGCAGAGACCTGTGCACCGCTGCTTTACTTCCAAAGAAAAACCTACAGCCCTCCCTCCATTGCCGTTGGTGCAGCCCAGTAAGGGAGGAGACTTTAAAGACAGGGATATGAGGTATTTAGTAAGGAGTAAATGAACGTTAGGTTAGAGTCCTGTGTCCAGTTTTGGGGGCCCCACTACAGAAAGGATGTGGACAAATTGGGGAGACCCCAGCAGAGGACAATGAAAATGGTTCGGGGCCTGGGGGACATGACTTCTGAGGAGAGGCTGAGGGACCTGGGCTTATGTAGTCTAGAGAAGAGGAGACTAGGAGGGGATTTAATAGCAGCCTTCAACTACCTGAAATGGGGTTTGCAAGCAGATGGAGCTGGACTGTTCTCAGTGGTGGCAGATGACAGAACAAGGAGCAACGCTCTCAAGTTGCAGTGAGGGAAGTTTAGGTTAGATATTAGGAGAAACTTTCTCACATGGAGGGTAGTAAAGCACTGGAACAAGTTACCCAGAGAGACTGGACTCTCCATTCTTGGGGGTTTTTAAGACCTAGTTAAACAAAGCTTTGTCTGGGATGATCTAGTTGGGGATGGTCCTGCTTGGAGCAGGGGGTTGGACTAGATATCCTGAGGTCCCTCCCAGCCCTCATTGTGATTCTGACTTCACTCTGTAGTAGAAGAGAAGTGGAGACATGATGCAGAGCCTTATACCAGTGTAACTCACACTGGCATAGTTGCCCTGCAGAAAGTGAGGAGCATCTTCTAGAAACCTGCATAAGTTAAACTGATAGACTACTTCAGTGGTGCTCAACCTTCTAGCCCCTCAGGCTGGATCACATGGACAAGTTTGGTCTATGCGGCTCCCCACAGGCCCAGAACTTTGGTGGCAGGGGAATGGCAGCAATGTTAATTGATACGGCTCTGGAAGCCACCAGTAATGCTGCCACTACTCCTGCTGTTTAATTTCCAGACCTGTGGGAAACCCCATGGGTCAGATGACATGGTCCCATGGGCCAAAGGTTGAGCACCACTGGACTAGTCTTATGTCTGCTCCTCTAGTTAGTTTAATCCCAGGGCAGTCTTTTGGTCAAAAACAGTTTAGCTCCCCTTCTCCCTAGCAGCTAGGCACTGCAACAGCTCCTACCATGGGTGGCTAGCCTGGAAGAGCTGGTCCTGTGTCTTTTTGCTATGCAGTAAACTCCAGAGTATATTACTCTGACATTGTGTCATGTGCTTGTGCCCTCAACAAGTAAGAAATTAACTACAGATAACGGAGCCATAGACTTGCTGCCCTAGCACTTCCACCCATGGTTTGGAAGCACAGTCAAGAACATGAGAATTGCTATTGTCTGTGTCAGACGTATGGTCCAGTTTGCCCAACTCCTGGGCCACACAAGAGCAGAGTGTGGATGCTGAATGGGAGAGTGACCTGGGTGTGACCAGGGTATTTTTCCACTGTTCCTCTCCCACTTGCAGCCTCCAGCATTTAAAGTCTAAGAAATTCTGATTCAGAGGCTGTAGCCCTGACTCCTGTTTGTGCTCAACAACTACAGATGTGCCTTTCCTCCAAGAATCTGCCCAATCCCCTTCTGAATCTGTCTAAACTGTCAGCTTCCACAACACCTTGTGGCAAGAAGTTCCACACTAATTGTAAGCTGTGTGAAAAATAGCTGCTTTTTGTTAGTTTTAAACAGAGTGGCTACTCATTTCATTTTGTGACCCCTAGTTCCTGTATTGTGAGAAGGAGTGGCCGTGGCTACATGAGATGCTGCCTGTACAGTAGCCTGATGCTACAGCGCAGTAGCATTGCATGGCAACAACTGTGATGCAACGCTACTGTGCAGTATTATTAAGCTACTGCACAGTAGTGTCACGAAAAAACTGTTTGTTGGTGCTACTGTGCAGTAACTCGGGTTACTGTGCAGTCAGCATCTTGTGTAGACATGGCCAGTAAATAATCCTATTTACTTTCCCTTCACCGTTTAGCATTTTGTAAACCTTTATCATGTGCCCCTTCCTCCTAAGTGTCTTTTCTAAACTGAATAGGCTTCAAAGTTGTTAAAACCTATAGGTACTTGGGTGTGATGTTTATAGCTTTTCCATCATGGAAACAGTACATTCAGTCAGTGAAAACTAAGGTAGTCCAATCGGTAGTGGCCTTAAAGAAATTTTATGAAACCATAGCAGGACAATCAGTCCAAACTCCCATATTAGCACATAAAGCCAAAGTTATGTCTCAGATCCTGTATGGTGCTGAAGTATGGGGCTATGCTGCCAGTAATGATGTAGACATACCTCAGAATAAGTTTCTCAGGGCTCTTATGGGTCTTCCTCCTCCAACTTCCGCATCTTTCCTGAGATTAGAGACGGGATTAGATTCCATTGTAACTAATTATTATTAGAATGGCAGGATTCTGGTTTAAGATCCTGCCTCTTCTACTGTCTCGCCTGCTCAAAATGTACTATATAGAAGACATCCAAAATCTCCCTTCACTTCAATCTCCCTGGCTAGCTTTTCTCTCTCGCACTTTTGCATTTTCTGGGTGGGGACATTATGTCAAAAACAATGAAAGACTCTTCTCCCCCAGAGAAAAGGTCTGGGTTTTCCAGAGGCTCTGAGATATTGCCAGGCAGAATGATTTTCCAGCGGCCAGGGCTATCTGCATCACCCCTCTATATATTCTTTGGAAATTAGATTGGGGGAAGAAAGATATTTATAGCTGTATCTCAAAAATAAATGGTGAGCTTCTTTGACTAGACTCAGGACTGAACAGGGGCCCACAGCTATTTTGGGTAGATGTAGACTTTTCATTCCGAGGGCTAAAAGATGTTGCCCAGCCTGTCTAGGAATTTTGGAAGACGCTATTCGTTATGTCTTAGAATGTTCTCTATATAATGACATAACGGGAAAGTATTTATCACCGTTCTTGCAGAAATTGACATCTTAAATAGAGAGAAATTAATATGGCTCCTCCAGCAAACAGATCCATGTTTAGTAAACCATCTTGCAATTTTGGCTTACAAGGCTGAAGCGATCAGAATTAAACATCCTTTACTATTGATATGACTGATAAACTTTATCACTATATTTGTTTTTTACTGTGTTAATCCTGGACCTATGCACAACATTTTTATAGATTCATGATCTGATTTATCACCATATTTGTACTTAATTATGTTAATTCTAGGAGTAGGGATAATGTTGTTATAATGGTTGGCCCTATTTTATTATTATACTTGCATTTCTGTTATTTTTATTTAAATTTATATTATGGCTGTATGTCTGTTATGTTGTTTTTGGGAGCATGGCTTTCAGCCAGAATCTTTAATAAATTGAATTTAATTGAAACTGAGTAGGCCTTACCTCTTTAGTGGCTCCTCACATGAAATCCCCCCATATCACTAATTACGAGTAAGGGTAGTGGTATGGAGGGATTCTTACACTAAGAAGAGTAAGGGAAGCAACAGGGGGTCACTGGGAGACTGTGGGACAGCAATCTAGAGCAGTGGTGCTAAGCTCTCTGGCTCCATGGGGTTTGGTCTACAGGTGCTAATCAGCATGTCAGTGCAACCACACGACCAGGCACAAGCATGATCCAGCGTGCAGGCCCATCATCCTGACCGCAGGAGACCCCATGGATCTGGAAGTCTGGTGGAAACTAACGATGGTAGCATTAACTGCCACAGCTCTGGGAGCAATTAATGCTGCCACCCACCACTCTCCCACTGTCAAATTCTGGATTTGTGCCAAGCCCTCCCATCTGGATGACACAGCTCCATGGGCCAGAGATTGCACCACTGACCTAGAGCTAAGGACCATGGTGGAGGTGAGTCATTAGGTAGGCAAGAAGCTGGAGAAGGGCAAGAGGCCCGTAGGACCTGTGAGGAGTCAAAAGGAGGACAGGATGAAACACAAGGGAGCAAAAACAGCCTGGAGGGTAGAACTGGCAGAACACTGGGGGTGCAAGTGGGGTTCAGGGTCAGGAACAGAGGCTGAGGCAAAAGGGGCTGGGCAGTCAGGGGCCACAAAAGAATTAACATGGAGGGAATTAAGTGGAAATAGAGGGAGCTGAGGGGTAGGGGAGACAGCTCAGCTAAATTCTTTATTACCAAAATACTTAGTGCATGTGTGTGTTTTTGTGGGGAGGAGAGGGGTGGCTTTAAATGCAGACTGCTCTGGTCTTTCTGAGAGAGAAATGCAGTACACTCAATATATGCCTAGGAAAGGGCTTCACAGTATAATTGAAGTTTTATGCCCATGTTGCCCAAATCCTGTCCTTATTCATCATACTGTATTCCTGATCACTTGCTGCTTGTTCTTTAGCAAGGCGCTGTTCCTGCCATCGCTCGTCTCTTCAGATTTTCCTCATCACCTGAGAGAAACTCTTCTCATGAGTCCAGCTTTCCTGGACTCCTCTTCACGACATACTCTGTTTTGGGTTTTCCAAGGTTACTGTCACATTGGTACCTAACCCAACCCCTATGTTGAAGCAGAAAGCTCCCAGTTTCATTTTCTCCTCTCTCCTGCTTGCTGGATTGGCTCTTCTCTCTGTGTTTGCACTTTGCTTTGTCTGTCTCCATGTCTAGATTTACTTCACTGTTATTGGTGTATTTGATACTCCTGTTTTTGATAAGAGACTTGCATA